AGCTCAAGTAAAATGGAGAGTACGGTTTTAAAGTGCCAAGACACAACTTCGGAGGAGGTTTGTCTGTGGAGGAGCTACTTCCAGAAGACAATAGGGAATGCCACCGGAGCTTGCCTACAAACATAGCTCTGGAGAAGCTTGGGCGGGAATGTTCGACTTGTTTAACGCAATTGGAGAGAATTTTATCGATGGAAAAAAATCTTGCTTACATCCTTTCTGTAACTACATAGGATGAGATCTCATTGCTTTTTTGATCATTAAAGCTCTTGGGCGGGAATGTTCGACTTGTAATCTCATTGCTAGTTGCTAGATAACCATAGAAAATGTGGCGGTCTGGCCTAAAGATTTTTTTTTCTATGCTGTCCACTTTTAGGTTTTCAGAGTACAAGAAAATGAGGGAGGCAATTGACAAGTATGAGGGTGGTTTGGAAGCTTTTTCTCGTGGTTACGAAAAAAAGGGTTTCACTCGTAGGTAATAACTGCTTTTTATCTTATTTAATTTTCTTTCTGAAGGTATTCGAGACCGGCCTTGAGCAAAGCCTTGTCAATTTCATGCCATAATGTTATTCGTTGACGCCAACTTGGTACTTCTTTGGCCCACACTCAAACCTATAGAGGAATGAAAAGGTGATATAGGTTGTAATATTTGCAGATGAAAGAAAGAGAAACATATTACATTTTGTATTTGGAGACATGTATATAGCAGCGGTTAATTCTTGACATGCTCAGCCCTTTACTAAAAATAGCTATCATCTAGTTTCTAGCAATCTAGGCATGGTATATATTGGAATTTGAAGTATTTATCTCAGACAGCAGGAGTGATTCCCGAAAAGTGACCTTCCAAAGCTATTGTTTACGAAAAGGAACCGTCTGGAGCTCGTGTTACACCTAATTATTTTGAAGAGAATCTATGTACTTCATCCCTTTATTGTAGATCATTTTACTTTCTGTTTTTCTTTTCCTTGGAGTATGTGTATGTTATATCAGATCTGTAAGCCTGACCTTACTGTAGGTGCTCCTTCTTTCCCTTTTGTAAGTTTGCTCTACTGAGAGGGGCTGAAGTATCAGTCACTGATTGCCTGTGAACTTTGTTGCTAGTGCTACAGGTATCACTTATCGGGAGTGGGCTCCTGGTGCCAAGGTCAGTGTGTCCTTTCTTGTTTTGTTTTAGATTCTCTATGATAAAAAGGACCACAAAATTGATAACCACTTCTTTTTTAAGTAAAAGGTGAGAGAAACTAAGAGAAAGTAGAAAGGAGAAGATTTATGTTTTAATTCTCAAGAAGCCTGTTTAAGGACTTCTGACCTAAATATGTTTCTTTTCTGATAGTTTAGAATATTGTAATTGCTCCACAGTTTCTGTCATTTGCACAGATTATGGTCTTCACCCTGGATGGACTTCTGACCTAAAAACGAGGATAAGATTCCTTTGGCTTAACTCATTAAAGTTTGGTTTTGCTACTCGATAGCATTACTCACTAGCTCTGCAAGCTTGATCTAGGCATCGACTTGGTGAGCCATTGACTTAGTTTGTAAGACTTATTCTGGTCCAATGTGATGGTCACTTTGAGGATGGAGTGAGAATAGACATATATTAAGTTATCTTTTCAGAATAAAGGTCAAGGACTGAGAAACTATTTTAAAATACTCCAGGTTGCAAACTTCTGTATCCCAAAATAATTAGTGAATCATCTTTCTTCTGCCACTAGCAAGTAAAAGATCTATTTTGGCATGTAAGAATTAGCTCCCAGGATTCTAAGAACTACACTGACTCAAGATCAGCCAAATAAGTACAAATTTGTCTTGAGGAACACAATCATGATATTTTGGCCTGGTTTGTGTTATGCCAGTACAGGTACTTATATCAGCAAATCAAGTATTTCTCTTTTGGTTAGGGGTACTTTTATCAGAATAAAATGTTGTTTCTTGAGTTTAACTAAGTCCGATGAGTTCAGTACGCTGATTTTAGATTGAGGAGCCTTCTAAAAGAAAGGAGAATCCCTTTGGCAACACATAATTGCTGGATGTATGGCAGAACATTTTTCTGCCAAAGCTGCAAATTCTGACGTTTTGTGTAAACTGATTACTAAAAAGATAAGGTTCAAGTGCAGTATACGGTGAAATGAGAGATCAATAATGTGAAATAACGTGGAAAGTCATTGGTGATCTCCTTATATGTCCATCAGTTGTTATACCAACTTCTGCATTTTATTTATGATATGATAATATCGGTTTTGTGAAAGTCTAAATTGCATGTATATCCTATGCTTTCCCTTGCAGTGGGCTGCCCTCATTGGAGATTTCAACAATTGGAACCCAAATGCTGACATCATGACTCGGGTATATCCCTTACAGTACATATCCAAGTGGTTCTGTTGCCATTTTTGTTTGAGAGCCTTGTGTTCTTTACATTCGATTGTCTTTGCTACTCATTTCAAAGTTTCTAGCAAATGTCTCGTATTCTTATTTCTGTTTACCTTTTTTATTACCCCTTTGTTGATCGAGTTATTTTGGCACGTGATCCCCTTTTTAAATTTGCATGTTACAAGGGAGTCTTTGCAAGAAAATATGGATTTCTTAAGATTTCAAAGTGACAGTTTCTTGACTTGTTTCTAGTAAGGCTCATATTTCGTTAGTTCCTTGATAGTAGGGCTGAAAATAACGACACACTTTAAATTGGTATTCGGTGAGAATAGTGCTTTCTATGTCTAACTGATCTGGTTACTTATCAAAAAAAGAAAAGAAGTCTAATTATTTTGTCAGATGTTCCATTGATCTGATAAAATGAAATATTCAAGATCTGGTGTTGTTCTTTAGAACATTTCTGAGTCTTTCAGAATTCTGCTTTACTTCTACGAGCATGCAACAAAATTCCTTCCTTTTCAGTTCATTACACAAAAGGGATCAACCGGATATTAGACAAGTGTACAGGTCAAAGAGGAGCTATACAAAAATTATTGCTCTCTGCAGAAGACATCCTATCACCTATACAAGTTGCATCTTTTGAGTACTCCTGAAGTACTCTAAGCGAACATCATACGTTCTGTTTGGAACAAAAGAAAGTCCCATTTGTACTTGTCAAAAAAAGGAAAAAATTTCACTTGCTCAAGAGATCTTCTATTCTCTTCTTTTCGAATTGACAGAACCATCGCTTGAGGAATTTCTGTCCAAGCATTATCTTTATTCCTTCTTTCATTTATTTTCCAGTTTTCCTAAAGATTTTTCAGGCATTGTCCAACTACTTCCTGAAATTTTATGGATCATATTCCATAATTGTTATACAATCTTGCACTGCTATAGTAGATGAGTCGCATCTTCACTAGCTCGCATTGTCTTTCTCTTCTCTTCTCTTCTCTCCTTTTTGCCCCTTGGGGCAGGGGTGGGGTGGTGGTGGTGGGAGCAGGTGGGTGTTACAGAGAGTTTCAGTGTTACGGTTATCTTCTGTAATTAATATGTTAACAATGAAGGATATGTAGAAGGATCATCTATTTGCTTTGCATGTTACAATGTTAAGCTCTATGCAGTGGTGGTTGCATAAAACTAATTCATGATCCATAAGTAGAACGAATTTGGTGTCTGGGAGATTTTTTTGCCAAATAATGCGGACGGCTCTCCTGCAATTCCTCATGGGCCTAGAGTGAAGGTATGTTCATTTTCTACAGTGCTCTAATTGATATTTGGGTATTTTATCCATTGGCTGTCGATACTACTGTTTTCTACCTTTCAGTTAAAATACTTGTGTCAAAGAATGCTCAAGAATTCTTTTTAGTTATATAGGTCTATTCACTTCTAAGCCTGCTAAGTGCTGGCTGCAAACTCTTTCAAGGAGACACCCCTTCCAAAGTTTATAGCATCTCTGTCTCCCTTCTCGCTCTCTCTTTCAGGTAAGGGTCACAAGTGGACCGGCCCGGGACCGCGGGCCAAACGGGCCAAGTGGGCCAAACGGGCTTCTGGGCAGGCTCTCTACTTTGGGACCGCTAGGACCGGGACCGTTTGGGACCAAACCGGTCCCTGGCCGACCAAACAGTCAAAAATTTAAAAAAAAACAATTCTGCCCGTTTGGGCATGTAAAATATGGTCGTTGGGTCTGTCAAAATAGATGTTGGCTATTTACAAAATAGCCATTTAATCCCCCAAACTTTGTTTTAACCCCAAATATTTTATAATTACACTTTTTCCCTATTTTCAACTATAAATACCCCCTCATTCTTTTATTTTTCGTATAAAATCATCAATCTCTCTCTAATTTTCTTCTATAATTGCTATTATTGCTTACTTTATTGTTACAATTTATGAAAAAATTGTGAAGTTGGTGAATCAGTCTTCAAGTCTTCAACGATAATCAATTTTCAACAAGTTGTTCGTCAATTTAGTAAACTCGTTCCAACTCTTAAGTTTTAATATTATAGTTTTGTTTGTTTTATTTATTTTCTATTATTTGATAAAAATAAGGAAAAATCCAAGAGTGACGAATCTAGTGATCAATCTGTTCCTCCTCCACTGCCCCCGGCTCCCCGAACCAAATCTCATATCCGTCCTACACATGCTATTCTTGATAGCGATAATAGTTTATTACAATTTACTAAGAGTCAATTTTGCCATAATATTAGAGCTGGTGAACAATTAGACCATGAATTAATGAATGCTCTTTATTCTAATCCAACTATTGATAAAAATGATAAGGAGGAAATAGATTTTGATGAAACTCAACCGGATGACGATACACCCACTAGTGATAACCCTGCTAATCCAAATAATGCCCCATCTGATACTCTTGTTACTGCCCCTACTTTTTCTAGATAACCTACCAAACAGACGGAAACATCTCATGTTTAGTCATTTTTTACTCAACTAATTCCAGAAAATAAGGCTAAGTGTAAAACTTGTGGCACGCAGTTAAAATTTAAATATTTTCAGTCACGCAGGGGGGAACTTTGTCTAGACACATATTTGTGAGAAGGCACGGGAGAAAATATGTTATTGATATTAGATGATAAATACAATATAAGAGGTCCCTATTTATAACTATACACTACAAAGAGATATTACTTATCTTTCAATGTGGGACAAGACTACACTATACATACTAACACTCCCCCTCAAGTCGGTGCATACACATCATATGTACTGAGCTTGCTACACATGTAGCTAATACGAGAATCAGTAAGAGACTTAGTGAAAATATCTGGTAGTTGATCATTCGACTTTACAAACTTTGTAATAATATCTTCTGAAAGTATTTTTTCTATGATAAAGTGACAGTCGATCTCAATGTGTTTAGTCCTCTCATGGAACACCGGATTTGACGCAATATGAAGAGCAGCTTGGTTATCACACACTAGTTCCATCTTGTTGATTTCTCCGAACTTTAGCTCCTTGAGCAACTGCTTGACCCAAACTAACTCACATGTCGCCATAGCCATGGCTCGATATTCGGCTTCGGTGCTAGATCGAGCAACTACATTCTGTTTCTTGCTCTTCCACGAGACCAAGTTACCTCATACTAGAACACAATATCCAGACGTATAACGTCTATCAAAAAGTGATCCTGCCCAATCAGCATTTGTGTACCCAATAATCTGCTCGTGGCCTCGATCCTCGAATAATAATCATTTGCCTGGAGCTGACTTTTTATACCGAAGAATGTAAACAACTGCATCCCAGTGACTATCATAGGGAGAATCCATAAACTGACTTATAATACTCACCGGAAAAAAAATGTCAGGTCTAGTCACTGTGAGGTAATTCAATTTGCCAACCAACCTCCTATATCTCGTAGGGTCTCTAAGAGGCTCCCCTGTCTAGGCAGAAGCTTAACATTCGGATCCATAGGAGAATCAATAGGTCTGCAACCCATCATTCCAGTCTCCTCATGAATGTCTAAGGCATATTTCCGCTGTGAAATAACAATACCTGAGCTAGACTGAGCGACCTCAATACCTAGAAAATACTTCAATCTGCCTAGATCCTTAGTCTGGAAGTGCTGAAAGAGATGTTGCTTCAGATTAGTAATATCATCCTGATCATTGTCAGTAATAACAATATCATCAACATAAACCACTAGATAAATACACAGATTAGGAGCAGAATGTCGATAAAACACAGAGTGATCAACCTCACTACGAGTCATACCGAACTCCTAAATAATTATGCTTAACTTACCAAACCAAGCTCGAGGGGACTGTTTTAAATCATATAGTGACCTGCGCAATCTGCACACACAACCATTAAACTCCCTCTGAGCAACAAAACCAGGTGGTTGCTCCATATAAACTTCTTCCTCAAGATCACCGTGGAGAAAAGCATTCTTAATGTCTAACTGATAAAGAGGCCAATGACGTACAACAACCATGGACAAAAAGAGACGAATAGATACTACTTTAGCCACGAGAGAGAAAGTATCACTATAATCAAGCCCAAAAATCTCAGTATATCCCTTTGCAACAAGACGAGCCTTAAGTCGATCAACCTGGCCATCTGGGCTGACTTTGACTGCATAAACCCAACAACAACCAACAGTAGACTTACCTGCAGGAAGAGGAACAAGCTTCCAAGTGCCACTCACATGTAAAGCAGACATCTCGTCAATCATAGCATGTCGCCATCCTGGATGAGATAGTGCCTCACCTGTAGACTTAGGGATAGAAACAACGGACAAAGAAGATATAAAAGCATAATGAGGTGACGACAGACGATGATAACTTAAACGACATAGTGGGGATTAGGATTAAGTGTGGATCGTACACCTTTGCGGAGTGCAATTGGTTGACTAAGAGGAGACAAGTCTGTAGTAGGTACAGAATCTGATGTGGGGCGTGAATCACCTGGGCCTGATGCTGGATGTGGACGACGATGATAAGTCAAGAGTGGTGGAGCTGCAGAAGGTTGAACTGGATTATGTGGAGGAACTGGAGCTATAGGTGGTGGAGCTACAACTGGAGCTGTAGGTGGTGGAGCTACAACTGGAGTTGTAGGTGGTGGAGTTGGAGTGACTGAATCTCCAAAAGATGAAACTGGTAGTACCACAGAAATATCTAAGTGATCACTTGAACATGTGAAGTATGATTGGGTTTCAAATAAGGTAACATCAGCGGACATAAGGTACCGCTGGAGGTCAGGAGAGTAGTATCGATACCCCTTTTGTGTTCTCGAGAAATCTAGAAATACGCACTTAAGAGCACGCGGAGCTAACTTATCTGTTCCTGGAGTAAGGTTATGGACAAAATAAGTATTGCCAAAGATACGGGGTAGACGAGAGAACAAAGGTAAGTGGGGAAACATGACAGAGAATGGAACTTGGCTCTGGATAGCTGAAGATGGCATACGATTAATAAGATAGCAAGATGTAAAAACTGCATCCCCGCCCCCAAAAACGCAACAGAGCATGAGATTGTATGAGTAGGGTACGAGCAGTTTTAATAAGTTGTTTATTCTTTCTTTCAGCTACCCCATTTTGTTGAGATGTGTACAGACAAGATGTTTGATGAATAATCCCATGAGATTTCATAAACTGCTGAAATGGGGAAGACAAATACTCTCGGGCATTATCACTATGAAATGTGCGAATAGAAACCCCAAATTGATTTTGAATTTCAATGTGGAAGGTCTGAAAAATAGAAAATAGCTCATATCGATTTTTTATCAAAAATATCCAAGTGCACCTTAAATAAACATCAATGAAACTGACAAAGTAGCAGAATCCCAAGGTGGAACTGACCCAACTAGGACCCCAAACATCTGAATGGACTAAAGTAAAAGGTGACTGCTCGATTATCAAGATGCCGAGGGAAATGGGAGCGAGTATGCTTACCGAGCTGACATGACTCAAACTCTAGAGCTGACAAGTGAGATAAACCAGATACCATTTTCTGAAATTTTGACAAACTGGGATATCCCAACCGTTTATGTAATAAATCTGGTGAATCAGTAACATGACAAGTTGTAGAAGGAACATAAGATGTGAGTCCGTGTGATTTAGCAAGGATGGGGTAATAAAGTTTGTTTGATTCATCCCCGGTACCAATGATCCGCCCCGTACTGTGTTCCTGTATAAAAATATGGTCATCAAGAAATAAAATAACGCATTTAAGTGATTTGGCTAAGCGACTAACAGCTATAAGATTAAAAGAACTATTGGGAACATAAAGGACTGAATCTAAAGGTAAGGAAGGAAGTGGGCTTGCTTGACCTATTGCAGTTGCCATGGTTTGAGACCCATTGGCCATTGTGACTTTTGGAAGAGATTGAGAATACGAAATAGTAGTGAAAAGAGATTTGTTACTAGAAATATGATCTGATGCATCTGAATCAATGACCCAAGACTCAGAGGATGAAGATTGGGAGAAACAAGTCACTCTATTACCTGTTTGAACAACAGAAGTTATCTCAAAAGATGTCTGCTTACATGTTTTGTACTGAAGGAACTCAATATAATCTGCTAAAGAAACCATCCGACTATTCAAAGCATCGTTTCCCATGTCGCTACAATTTGTAGTAGTAGGGTTAACTTGAAATAGTGGAAATAAGTAACTCCGGTGAGAAAACTGAAGAAATAGCTTGAAAAACACTGTTTACAGCAGGAAACCAGAACACTGTTCTGCGCCGGAAACATTATTCACGCTGGAAATACTGTAGCTCGCCGGAATCTACTATAGCTGACGGAAAAAACTCAAAGTGGTCAGAATAAAACAAAACCAGTGAGGGTAGGATCGGAATTACCAGGCGATCCTACTGTTTAACTGGAACTTTTTCAAAATCTGGCCGGAACAGTGCTCACGCGCAGGCGCGTGGGTCAGATGTCGTCAGAAAAAATTTTCTTTTCCAGGGGCGTGAGGGCGCGTGGACATGTGTTTTCCGGTGGGGTTGACTGGGGTTTGGTCGCCGGAGCCTAAGGAGTCTTGTGGTGGCATTAGTTTTTGCACAACACCAACAAAAAGTGATTTGCTGGAACTTTTTCAAAAAGCCTTCTAAGTCGTCGGAATATTGCACGGCGAAGAGGTCTTTCTTCCCGGAAGTCGCTGGAATGATGCACATCGACGGGTTTCTCACTAATCCTGTGATACCATGTGAGAAGGTACGAGAGAAAATATGTTATTGATATTAGATGATAAATACAATATAAGAGGTCTCTATTTATAGTTATACACTATAAGGAGATATTACTCTTCTTCCAATGTGGGACAAGAGTACACTATACATACTAACAATATTGAAACACCCTCGAGATAGAGTCAGATATCTTTGTTTGAAAGTTTTGGCGGAGGAAAAAAGTGTACCTCCTAGTCAGGCTGCCCCTAGTACCGGTTCAAATTAATTTCAACCGGGAATCAATACTGTTACCGGTGGTATTTTATATTATGATCCAAAAAAGGGTCGGGAAGAATTGACAAAAATGGTTACTGTTATGTCCATACCCTATAGTTTTCCTTGTGATCCTAACTTTGTGCATTATATTAGAAATATTTTTAATCCTACTTATAAAGGTTTTCCTCGCACAACCGTAAAGAGCGATATTTATAAATATAAACATGAATATGAACAATATTTGCGCTATTTATTTACTCATATAAATTGTTGTGTTGCTATTACAACTGATATTGGTAAAGGTGGTAACGATTGTGATTACTTTACTATTGCCAGTCATTGGATTTATGAGGATTGGATAATGCAAAAGCGCATTATTGCTTATAGAATAATTAATTCACGTCACAGAGAGCAGTTTATTGCTAGCACAGTTACGGATATTTGTAGATATTTTTGCATTAGTGATAAAATTAATGTCAGTTTCAATGGATAATGCTACTAGTAACACAAATTCTATAGCCTTGCTTATCACTACACTAAGTCCTGCATTTAGTAATATTTTTCTTGTTAGATGTATTTGTCATATTTACCATTTCATTGTGGGTGATGGTATGAGAATTTTAAATATTAAAATTGAAAAGGTTAAAATGGCTCTTAACTGATTTTTTTATTCAAACCATAGAAGTAGACTTGGAGAATATTTTAAAAGATGCGATGAATTTGGCCTAAAAGAAAGAAAGGTTCCTAAACCTTGTCCAAGTAGATGGAATTACATGTATGAAAGTTTAGTTGTTGCATATGAATATAGAAGCCCCATAAACTCAACGTTTAATGCTCATGTAAGTGATGATGATGATAAACTTACAAATACAGATTGGACTAATGTTAAAATGCTCGTAGATTTTTTAGAAAAATTTCATATTGCTATAAATGAATTTTCTGGCAGTATCATCCTACTATTTCTAACTTTTTAGTTTATATTGCAGAACTTGTAAATTTGTTTGCTCATTTTTCAGAGGGGGGAGGTGGGGGGAGGGATTTATAAACTTGCTATTGATTCTATGAGAAAAAAGTTTAAAAAATATTTTTTCCCTATTCCCCCTAGAAACTTACAAGTTTTCTATTTTATTTTTAAAAAAAATATCCGTTGGGGCCACTTAGCCCGCGGGCCGGGACCATTTAGCCCAGGACCATGGGTTCGTGGACCCGGTCCCGGGTCGGTTCCTATAAAAAGACCATTTGAACCGGGACCGTTTGAACTGGCCACTTGGTCCGTTTAGGGCCAAACTGGCCTACTTGTGGCCCTTACTTATAGCACACAGACACCCGAACCCACCCCTTCCAAAAAGAAACAATATAAATATTCATCTAAGAACGAGCTTTCAAAAGTTGTTTCTCTAATGCAATTTCTTAATTATTCAATTCAAGGTTAGTAAATATTCATCTATGTCTGATCCTGGTGGTTCTTATGCCACTATTTTCTAATATTACGCTAATATACTGAAAGTGTAGATACGTATGGACACTCCATCAGGTGTTAAGGATTCCATTCCTGCTTGGATTAAGTTCTCTGTTCAGCCTCCTGGTGAAATTCCATAAAACGGAATATACTATGATCCACCCGAAGAGGTTACACACTCTTTTCTCTGTTGTTCCTAATTGCCTAGTATATGGACTTGTATTTGGTTTTGTCATACAAAGGATTGTGGTACAGACATGATTAAATAAATTAAGGTGTATATCTCGAACAACTTTAGCTTTTAGATAAGATTGTCACACTTCCACATGGTAGCGGAGTAGGTAGAGTTCCTGGGTTCGAGTCTCACCGCCAATCATTATCAGGGAAAATTTTCTCGTACTTGGCACATGAAAAAGAATTAGACTCACACATGTGTTGAAGACATAATTAAATAAATTAATGATGCCCTCTGTAATAGCTTAAGCTTTAATTGCGATGGTCACACTCAATGGAATGAAAAATCTTTATTAGTTTGAACTCATATGTGAAAATCCATACTAGAAAAACTCATCTTTATTAGTTACAATTGTGCAAATCCTCTATTGTGTCTAGCATTGCATCTAATCATGTGCAATTTAGGTGCTTTAATTTATTCCCCTGCATCCTCACAAACTCTATTTTATTTCTGTCATTTGTTTTCGTGTTATGATTCGTTTTCAATTCCTTGTAGGAGAAGTATGTACGGCCAAAGAAACCAAAGTCACTGAGAATATATGAATCTCATATCGGAATGAGCAGTCCGGTGTGCATCCATCCTCTTGCTGTTCTAGAAATGGCATAAAAGCACGACGGGATAGGCAGACTAGAAAATACTTAAAAATTGTCAAGGGCAAACACTTGTGTATCGTCTTAAATTTAATCTAGAACAAAAATTAAGCTATATTAGACGGCTTTAGCACTGACTTGCTTTGGCCACGTCAAATTCCAAAAATATTTATTACATTAACCTTAGCTATTATTCATACCCATTTTTTTGGAGTTTGATATAATCATTTTAATTTCTTTAAATATTGATATTCAAAAATTGTATGCAGACTAATATGAATTCGAATTGGGTGAATTCATTAAGAAAAGTAAAACACTTCCAATTAAAATATTTTTAATTTAAAGTTCAAATTCAAAACCTCTAACTAAAAATAAAATAAATAAATTTGTTTAATATGGATTTCAATACAAGTGAAGAAAACATATTTCCTCTGTCTCAAATCATTTCTCGTGTTATACTTTTATACATCTCTTAAAAAAATATTACTCCAACCGGTCTACAATAAGTTTTTTTGCCTTTTTTTTGTTGTCCAAAATATCTAATTTTGCCATATTTACCTTAGAGTAAATAGTGTTGGAATATGTGTTTGGAGTTTTTATGTGAAGAGATGGTAAAGGTTAATATGGTCAATTTCATTGCTAATTAATGTTAAAAGGTGAATTTCTTAATCTATGCGAAAATAATCAAAAAATCAATTATTGTGAGCTGAAAGGAGTAATTATAAGGAATTTGGATTATTTTACCCTTATTTTATGTCTTAACATATAATCTCTCTTCATTAAATATTTACATTAATATCTCCACTTTCAAGTTCAATTATTATTAAGAGTAAAATAAGAAAAAATAATTAATTTTGTCTTAAATTTTTAAAATAATAAATAATTTGAGAATGATTATTTTTAGAAATCATGACAGATAATTTGAGACGTCAAAATTTATGGAGGGTCAAAGTGAACTACAGTATTAAAGCCTTAGATCGGAACTTAAAATAAATGAAGCATTTAAGAAAAATTTGATAAAAAAATGGTAAATTCTGAGGTTATAAATAGCAAATGAAATAAAGATGGGTTTACTTGAGTAGAAAGAAAACTGTAGCCCCGATCTAAAATATATCCATTTTAATCCGCCTACCTCTATCCGGAACTTTAGGCTGCGCGTCCGTCCGGCGAATTTCCGTCCAGATATAACACCGGCGATCTGAATTCACTGTGAGTCAATTCCTTCACCTGCATTTGCAGTTTTGCTATGGCAAACAAATAGCTGAAGTTCTTTGGTGATAGATATATAAAATTCATAAATTTTGATTTTATATTTGTGTGAACTGATAAATTGATCTTCAATATTGAGCTCGTTTACATTTTTAACGCGAACGGATACATGTATGAATTTAGCAATTGCTGTTCAATCTCTGCAATTTTGCACAATAGCGTTTTCCGTTGAATGGGAGGATGTGTGAATGAATCGGAGTCGTTTTAATTACTATATTCGGAGTACATTTTCTGAGCTCAATTTTTTGAGGACAAATATACTATTGATAATGTTCGAATAGACAATTTAGCAGTGGTTTTGAAAGTGAAAAGCGCAAAAAAGGACAGCGTGAATTGATGCGCACATTTAGGGAATCAATGCATTGCTTCAAGCACAAGGCGGGCAAAAGATGATTTCATATTTTGCAATTTGTTATCATCGTGCTAACTTGTTTTCTGATGAATCAGAAAAATTATTTTGGAATTGCACTCAGCGTAGTTTTGCTTAGTTTAACTTCTCATAACGAAAGTACTTGAAGTTGAACAAATGTCTTGTTTTGCAGTTTTCAACCACTGTTTTGTCCTTGAATTGGTTGCTAACATGATATTATATTTGATGAGTTGCACTCTAAATGGATACGACCGTTTCAGTTTCAGTTTCTGTTATATGTTAAGTAATTTATTAAAAAAGTACCAAGGTGGTACACCAAAATAAAACCACCTGTCCTTCCATCCCCAAGAACTCACACAACTCTATGAACCAAATAGAGTTGTGTGAAACAATCTACATTAGACTATTACTCTCACATACTTTGGAGCTAAAGAAGGCTTCATTAAGTGGTAATATGCGGCTAAAGTCGAGTGCATGACATAATTCCCAGTATACTTTGACTACCTATACAAGTATATAACAGAAATTGTCAAGGGCAGAATTATACAGACTCCAAAAAGAAAGCCAAATAGACTATTACTCTCACATACCTTGGAGCTAAAGAAGGCTTCATTAAGTGGTAATATGGGGCTAAAGTTGAGTGCAGGACATAATTCCCAGTATACTTTGACGACCTAGACAAGTATATACCAGAAATTGTCAAGTGCAGAATTATACACACTCCAACAATTCCAAGCAACAATATTCACTTGGATGCTCCATCAATGTTTAAAAGGAACTGTGGGAGGGGAATGCCCATATGAAGCCACTGCAGGAAACACAAAAAAAGAAAAAAGATTCATTAAAGATGAGTACGTTCCTCCCAAATGAAATGATCATGATCATGTCTAGGACCAAAAAACAGGGGCAATTCGACGTTAAAATTTACATGTTCTCCTATCCCCCGCGTCCACAGGGCCATTATAGAAGAGAATTACCTGTCGTCCATCTGGATGGCAATATTTTTCAAAATTTTCCCGAAGTATTGGACCTGTAAGATCCTGATAAGCCTTCAGCGGGGTTTTTAACTTTTTCTTTCACAGATAACAATCATGTTGTTGATGTGCAACACTTGCGGCTTCAAAGTAAAGAATGACGAACATGGTTCAGGTGCAATATATGCGCAGCACATCGGGGAGTGCCGAGTCGGCACTCAGGTAAGGAAAATTGCCTTTCATGTTGGAACAATGCTTAATGACATGTCAACTTATTGAGTCTGTTTTGACACCTTATCAGGCCAGCTGGATTAACCAGAAAGCAGAAAACAAGAAGAAGTCAAGAAAAGAGGAGAAAAAGGAGCTGAAGAAAGGAAAACCAAAGAAGAAAGCAAGAGAGAGCAACAAGGAAAAGGAGTATGAACTTGTCTGAGTTTGCAAGTATAGGATATGGTTTTGATCTGTTAGGATAGTTTGATTACTTAGAAGTACTCTGAGATATATAGAAATAAAGCAAATATATGAAACCATTTCTGCTAGAAGAGAATTTTGTTGTTAATTGGTACGGTAGTAGTGCATATGGAAGACTGTAGTTACTGGTTATGTCTTGTTATACTATTTTCTTAAGTGTTACTGTTAATTGCAGAGGAAGTGGTGGTTAATCTCTGTTGGAAACCAAGAAAAATCCAACATCACTTGTTGAAGCAAGGGATTAGAGGTCCTAAATACCATTTCCTCTTGCGTAATCTCAAAGAAATTGCTAGTCAGTTAGTGAATCCAAACGAGCTCTAAATCAACAAGTCAGAAAAAATGTAAGAAAACATAAAAAGAATTCAACAAAACAAAGAAGGAAAATCAACTAGCAAGCAAAATAACATTCAATTAAAAGCAAGGAGGAAACAACCAAACCAGAGATTTGCAGCAAGGAGAATTGGAAAAACAACCTGAGATCTGCATCAAAAAAAAAAAAAAAAAAAAAAAAAAAAAAAAAAAATCAAGAACAGACAATTAAGAAAAATTCAATCTTGAAAAATCGAATCTTGAATACAACACAATCATAAAGGATAAAAAAAAGAGTTCTACCAATATAGCAGATCTAAAAGAAAAGTAAAATAACCAACCTGGATGTAAATCAAAAACTTGTATGATGTGATAATAGATCTAAGACAAGAGGATGATAAAAAGTCATTGTAGATCTTGGTTTGAAGAGAAGAAGAGAAAATATGTGTTTCTGATGTGTTAGATTTTAGATCAGAAGAAAGTACAACAAAGGAGGAGAACTGATAGGGTTGAGGGGGAGGGTGTCGGCCAGGGGTAGGTAGGGATGTACTTATGTGGTTCTGGAACCACTCCTATTATTTATAAATTTATAATTTATAAATAATATTGTAAAAATGGTTTTCCTCCTTGGCCCTTGTAATAAAGGAAATTTGCAAATAACTCCTCCCATTAATTATCAATACACCGACTGAAACCTTTCCTCTACTTTCTCCTTGAATTTGGTTGAGGCGGGCCCACATTTTGACCCAAACCTTTCGATATTTTGTTTTCCAAAAACAATTTGAAACGTTTATTGGAAATACAGATTTCAATATTAATTCAAACGTTTCAATTCCTTAAAATCCATCCAGAAAATTAGGACATCAATAACTTAACTCCTCCTATAATCAAGCTACTCACACTTCCTCAAAATCATCTTCTAATTACATTCATTCATTAAATCACGTTTAATTTGCCCCACATAGTAAATTTTACAGCATGTATTAAGTGTGTGAGTATATATTACGTATTTTGAAGACAAAGTATATACTACTATTATTATACCTAAAAATATATGGAATTATCTAATCGTATTGACTAGGTACAAAAATCTTCAAAATACATGATATATTCTATTTATCTACTTGCTTTTTTGTTATAAAAATAGTATGTACTTTATTTAGATATTATCCAATATTTTGAGGATTATTAAGAAACTAAGCTCAAAGTAATATTATAAAACAAGAAAATAGATATGAAATGTGGAGAGGAAGAAAGAACTATCTTATTTCAGCAAGTGTGTACAATGTGATGTCTAAACCCTCTATTTATAGGATGTCATTGATGTAATACAAAGGGATATCATGAACATGATATTAACTATTGAGATCACGGGGAAGATCATGGAGTGAGTTATGGAGGTGTGGGAGTTATAACAACAATTGTAAGAAGTATCGGGAGGTTAATGGAGAAGAGTTGTGCGAGTAACTTCTTTATGAGTTATAGACATCCACTACATAATGTAATATTTCATAACAAGGATTTGATTATGATATAATTGAGGAATTAGGTGAAAATTTCTCTATATACATATTAGTATTTGTTTAAAGAAGAGAGAGAAAAGTGAATAAGCAAATCCCTTTTTTTTTTACCCCTTAAGTGAATAAAAGAAGAGTTGTGTGATCCCTTGATTTGGGAATTATTTTATTTTTAAAGTTGCTAAGTCGAGAGAGTAGGTAAAAGATAAATAAGGATAAAAAACAAATACCTTGATTTACGGAATCAATTGTGCGTATAATTTTTTATAATATTTTAGATTTTTTTTTTAGTTCGTGTAAAAAAGAATGATTAATTTTTCATATTTGGAAGCAATTTACCTTTATGCATAATTTATCGTCATCCAAAATATATGTGTCTCATTTTACACTATAAATTTAAAAGTGTTTTCTTTTTTCTTAAATTTCACCTCTAGTCAAATAAGTTTACATAAATTGAAACAGATGGAATATTATTTAAAAAAAATCTGCTATTTATTGATTAAAAATAAAGAGTGATAACATTCTCTTAAATAACTTTTTAAAAATGCTCACCGGTGTAGTTTTCTCTTATTATAATTCAAAGTGGTAGATTTAAAATTTAAACTTGAAACCTTCGAGCTTATCCCACACTGAATTATGAATAGAATTTTTTTAAATTTAAATTCGGGATCCGCCTCTGCTTAGGTCTCTGCTAAGATTGTAAAGGCTCTGATAACATATGAAAAATAAGAAAAAATATATATTAGTGACTGATTAATATAAAACGCAGAAACACCTGCTTATATTATACTATACCAGTGACATTGACATACACAAGAATTTTTATAAGCGACATCAACATTTGAAGAATTGAACAAATAAATAATCCGCTGTAACGATAAACGGTATTATTTTTTATATTTATACCCAATATCTTCATTGTTATTGTTATTATTTATACATACATATTTTTTTATATTTATACCCAATATTTATTACTATTGTTTCCAGCACTCAATTGCAAATACTTCCTAGATGCATCTTTTATGGGACTGACGCAATGGTGAAATTAGAAAATTTAATAAGGATATCCAAAGTCTATGCAAGGATATTCAAAATCTATTTTTTAATCAATAACAATACTAATATTTTATCCTATACATAATATAGTTTTCAGTTGACCACCTTGCCATACATAGTTTTACCCGTCGTCACTGACGGACCTTATATCCCCTACCTGATTGAAGTTTTTAATGCAGGTGAATTTAATCAGGTAATTCCCTGAATGCATAGCTTAGCAAAATTTTATATTTCACTTTTAGCAGCATTTTGCACAATTTTCTTACCCTTTTTGTTCACACGTTGTTGGAAAAAATATATCCCACCCAGCAATAATATTCACGGTAAATAACAATAACACAAAAAAATAACAACGACACTAAATCTTTTAACGGGATAAAATACAATACTCGAGCAGAGCAATATAATATCACTATAATATTATAATTTGGTAGTGTCAATAGACTACTACAAATTCAAAAGAAATAACACTCTTTATTTGTCATAACCCAATTTAGGATCATGACCAGCACTTAGGAGCAAGTGCCCCCAAGTAAACCTCATCGGTATTTTACAGAAAAACGGACAGAGTTTTTCCTGTTTTGGGGCTATCCAAAAAGTTTTCTGTCTCGTAAACAAGTAACAACCAACCAATATTCACCTTAATCATTCACAATCTTCATCAACAAACCACAAACGGGTTTCCACCAATATTACCAACCTTCTCAACATAATAAAACTATAACCAACTCTAAAAATACAGAAAGAAAGTATAATACTAGTAACTAGTCCGTACCAACAAATGAATACTCACGACACTAAAAGAATGACTATGGAATGACTCTAAGAGTTCAAAGAAAAAATCATAACAGTAATTAAAATCTCTGCCCACGCGAATAAGTGCGAGGCTTACCAAGAACTATCAACCTGTGTGCTCTAATTAACGAAATCCTCGCCCGCGTCAACTACTGTCTCTGTAAAAATAATTAGCGGGGAATGAGTCGCTAGCTCAGTGAGCAATAACACTTAACCACAACCGTTTTTATTGGGGACAAGTCAGAAATCATGCTAGTATATTAAACAAAAAATATCATAAAAATACCCTTTCAGAAATAATAAACAATAATCAATCTCATCATGTTTTTCATGTAATATAAATCAACTGACAATTCGGTAATAAGCTTGGTAAATACTGTGTAATATTAATATTCATGTTTGGGAGGTTTTAATGAACGGATTATGTAATCGGTATAACCGTGGACTTCTTCGCAAGAAGTCAAATATAACAGTAGTCCCTACTCGAGGAAAATCAGTAATAGTATGTTAGTTCTTCCTTCCAACTAGCGAGGGCTGTAACGGTAATCGGTAATTACAAGGTGCACCAGGTCTAACGAACCCGCCATTAGCTACAGGATCCTTCAATGTCTATTCCCATTTATATTTGTCTCTGTAATCCGTATATACCCATAGAAAATATTTTAAGACAATATAGGGCATTTCGGTTCTTATCAAATTATATAATTTCATTTCGAGTACAATAAATTCAAGTAACGGTAAAACAGATCTAGTGACAATGAAAATATTTAAAACAACGGTAATCATCTCAAATAACTATTTCGGTATCATATCGAGTAAAAGACTTGTCCTACATGCAACTCAAAATAATCGGTAACATATTCATATTAAAAATCATGTGTAAATCATGCAAGTTATGAAAACACAAACTGCGGTAAGATTACTACTCACAGTACTCGTGCCGAAATACCAAATGCTTCACCTCGAGCAATTCGTACAACTTCCTCCAATCAATCTATAATTACATAATATCGATCTCATATTAATTTCCATGTTTAGGCTAATTCCTAGCTAATTTAGAATGCCCAACCCCCAGGGTAATATCTTTAATTCCCAATCTTTCAATGTTGTGTTTACTCATGCTACGGTTAATTTTTGAACTAGTCCAAAATCTTCTAAATAACAGGCAATCGTATTTTTTTTTCATTGTACTATTCAATTTTCTTTACCCTGTATATAAGTTGAAACTTAATAGCATTACTGTCCATAATATTTTTTTTTTTTTGGAATTTAAATTTCTAATGCCCAATGGCATCCCATAAACACAATAAATTGAGATTAAAGAAATTCACCAGAAAATAAAAAAAGAATCAAAGAAAGGGAAAATTGACCTCTTTACGTCGAAGGATACTTTCACTGAAAGCTGCTATATAGGTTCAATTCTCCTTCCTTTTGATTATAAATCTTACTGCCAAAAGCTTATATTTTCCTCACTTTTGCTTGTCAATTTATTGCCGTCCAATTTTGTTCGAGTAACTACTCCATTTTGTTTCTTTAAGTTTGAAGTTGTTTCTCCCAATCCCTAATTTCCTGTAATGCCTTAATATGGTGGGCCTCAGCCCATGTAATTCTTTTGTTTTTTTGTCTCCTTATTTATTTATTTATTTATTATGCTAAAGACTTAAATATCCTAACTTACGTATGGAGTATTACATTCTCCCCACCTTATAAAATTTGATCCCCGAATTTAACTCAAGTACGTACCTGTAGACTGAAACAAATGGGGGTACTTGACTCGCATAGCATCTTCTATTTCTCAAGTAGCTTCTTCAACTGTATGATTTCACCATAAGACTTTTACGAACTCAATTTCTTTTGACCGTAGCTTTCTTACTTGCCTATCAACAATAGCCATCGGTTCCTCCTCGTAAGATAACTTCTCATCAAGCGGTATAGCAGGTGCTTCAAGCACCTGAGATGAGTCTGATATACATTTTCTTAGCATTGAGACATGAAACACTCGATGGATAAAGGACAACTCAGGAGGAAGTGCCAAATGATAAGCCACAACTCCCACTCGGTCTAGTATCTCATACGGTCCTATAAACCTGGGGCTCAACTTGTCTCTTTTCCCAAACCGCATCACACCTTTCATAGGGGAGACTCGTAGGAACACTTTGTCCCCAATTGTGAACGCTAAATCTCTTCTTCTCTTATCAGCATAAGACTTTTGTCTACTTTGAGCTGTAAGCAATCTCTGTCCGATCAACTGGACCTTGTCCATAGCTTCTTGTACTAGGTCGGGTCCCAATAATTTAGTCTCACCAGCTTCAAACCATCCGATAGGAGAACGACATCTTCTACCATACAATGCTTCATACGTGCCACTTGAATACTAGACTAGAAGCTATTGTTGTAAGCAAATTCAGCTAAAGGTAGATAGGCATCCCAACTACCTCCAAACTCAAGAATGCAAACTCTCAACATATCCTCAAAGATCTGTATAGTACGTTCAGACTGCCCGTCTGTCTGTGTATGAAATGCAGTACTAAGATCTACTCGTGTACCCAATGCTTCTTGAAAAGATTTTCAAAAGTGTGAGGTAAATTGTGATCCTCTATCAGAGATGATGGATATTGAAACTCCGTGAAGTCGGACAATTTCGTTCATAAATATCTGTGCATACCTCACTCCACCATATGTAGTCTTCACTGGCAAAAAGTGTGATGATTTCATCAGTCGATCTACAATTACCCATACAGAGTCATAACCTCTAAGGGTTCGTGGTAGCCCGGTGATAAAATCTATAGTAATTCTTTCCCATTTCCACTCTGGAATCTCAATTTGTTGTAACAGTCCTGCGGGTCGCTGATGCTCAGCCTTGCCTGCTGACAAGTTAAACAACTAGAAATAAAGTTAGCAACATCTTTCTTCATACCTTCCCACCAATAAAATTGCTTCAGGTCATGGTACATTTTTGTGGATCCAGGATGTATAGTGTATTTAGAGTTGTGGGCTTCTTCAAGAATAACATGTCTCAATCCATCTACGTCTGCTACACATAGCCTATCACCCATTCAAAGCACACTATCACTTTCAACAATCATATCCTTGCTTTTACCATCTAAGGCCCCATCTCTGTATTTGCATAATCGCTCATCCTCATATTGGGTGGCCTTAATGCAATGAAGACTTAGCTTGAGCACAAGCCAACAATGCCTCTGAATTTCCGACACTAAATCTGATACCTGTATCTTCTAGTCTCTAAATATGTTTGGCCAAAAGTCTCTTTGTAGGAGCTATATATGCCAAACTCCCCATAGATTTTCTGCTCAATACATCAGCCACCACATTGGTTTTTTCAGGATGATACAAAATAGAACAATCATAGTCTTTGAGTAGTTCCATCCACCGACGCTTCCGAAGATTCAGATCTCTCTGCTGAAATATATACTTCAGACTTTTATGGTCAGTATAAATCTCACAAGTTTTGCCGTATAGATAATGCCTCCAAATTTTTAGAGCAAATACCACTGCAACCATCTCCAAATCATGTGTAAGATAGTTTTGCTCGTGCTTTTTCAATTGTCTCGAAGAATAAGCTATAATACGACCATTTTGCATGAGAACACATCCTAATCCCACCCTCGAGGCATCACAGAATATTGTAAATCCTCCAGAACCTGATGGTAGGGCTAATATTAGTGCAGTTGGCAAAGGTGTTTTGAGTTTTTGAAAGCTCTGCTTGCATTCCTCCGTCCACTGAAACTTTGTATTTTTCTGTGTTAGCTTAGTCAGTGGCGCTGCTATTCTGGAGAAATCCTGCACAAAATGCTTGTAATAGCCTACTAAGCCTAAAAAGCTGCGAATCTTTGTAGGAAAAGTAGGTCTGGGCCATTTTTGCACAACTTCGGTCTTCTTAGGATCTACCATAATTCCATCTTTGGATACAACATGCCCCAAAAATGATACTGAGTCTAGCCAAAATTCACACTTCGAGAACTTAGCATAAAGACGATATTCTTGCAATGTCTGCAACACAGTCCTGAGATGATTCTCGTGTTCTTCTTGGCTACGAGAATATATCAGGATATCATCGATAAATACTATTACAAATCTATCCAGCAACGGCTTGAACACCCTATTTATTAAATCAATGAATTCAGCTGGAACATTAGTCAGTCCTAAAGGCATCACAAGAAACTCATAGTGCACCTATCGAGTTCTGAAAGCAATCTTAAAAATATCTTCATCTTTGATTCTAAGTTGATGATAACCCGAACGGAGGTCAATATTTGAAAAGTGGGAAGCTCCTTGTAACTGATAAAACATGTCATCTATACGAGGCAAAGGATATTTATTACGTATTGTTGTCTTGTTTAACTGCTTGTAGTCAATGCACATTCTCAGGGATCCGTCTTTCTTCTTTACGAACAGTACTGGTGCACCCCATGGTAATACACTAGGTATAATAAAACCCTTATCTAATAAATCCTGTAACTATTGCTTTAGCTCCCTCAACTATGCTGGTTCCATTCGATATGGGGGTATCGATATAGGCTGTGTGTCAGTTAGCAAATCAATACCAAAGTCTATTTCTCGTACTGGAAGCAATCCTGGTAAATCCTCAGGAAATACATCAAAACATTCTCTCACTACTGGTACATTTTCTATACTAATTGTTTCCTTTCTCGTGTCATTTACAATAGCTAAGAGACCCAAGCAACCTTTCTTCAGAAGTCACTGAGCTTTCATAAAAGATACAACTTTGCAAGTCTCTCGAACCTGACCCCCTTTTGGAACAAAACTGGGTTCGTTTGGTATCTCAAACTTAACTATCTTTGCATGACAATCGACGATAGCATATCAAGAAGATAACCAATCCATTCCCATCAACATGTCAAAGTCAATCATTTCGAGTACAATAAGGTCATCTAGAGTATCTCTATCCTCAACCCGAATCTGACAAGCACGATACACGTATTCAGCTAATAGAGACTCTCCAACAGGAGTAGCAACTAGAAAAAGGTCATTCAATAGCTCAGACTGTCTACTAAACCTCAAAGCAAAGTACGAGGACACATATGAGTGAGTAGATCCCGGATCAATCAACGCAAGTGTAATGAATGAAATGCATGAGAAATACGTCAATAAAATCTTTCGGAGTGTCATAAGACCATTATGCCTTTGATTAATATCATGAAATAAACTTTATCAACTTACGTATTTTCTGAGACCCATGAACAGATGATAGAATAATATGACACATGGGGAATGAAGAACATAAGCATCTCTAGTGTTTCTATGAATAGAGTCGTGTATGGAAATTATGCATTTGCTCATTTTGTTTGTGTCGTATAGATCATGCCAAAAACAAAGAAGGGATAGCCTTAACATACCTGAACTGATTCTCTTGACAATCCCTCCAACATACGTTGGTTGCGACAAAATATGTAACGGCGGATCGAAGTAGGAAAAAATCTGTATGATATTCTTGAGAAAGATTGTACCGTTCTCTCTTAGAATAGCAAAATCCCGTTGCGATTACACAGTATAACTTTGTTGCAAATTTCATAGAATTGCAGATACGTATTGAAACTCCATCTGTTTGCCTTCAATCCATATAGAATTGCAAATCTCTTCAAATTGCAAATGTAAACAGACAGAAATAATACATGTAACCACAACATTCGAGGCCTGAGCATCATGTCTAGTAAATGCAAAAACTCTTGCCTGACCTCTACCAGCATTCCCTTGTCCTTGAGTCACAGTAGCATGGTCCCCAGCACCTCGACCTTTATTTTTTTGTACCTGTAGCACCTGAAGTATTACGAGTAGTCTGAGTAGGTGCAGCTGACTGAATAGAAGCCTGGTTGAAATTCCTCGGAGGCTGAGGGCAATCCCTCAAGTGATGTCCCAACTGGCCACACCGAAAGCACCCTCCAATTAGAACACGACACTGGCCCAAATGTGATCT